AACATTCAAAACATTTTCATAAGCTTCTTTGATATTCTTTGTGGCTACAGAGGCATTGTTTCCCTTCTTGTATTCAAACATAATTACATGCCAAACATGTGTCTCATCATGTGTCATCACTATAAGGGGTTAGAGTATATTAAACTTTACATTATATAGGCTACACGAAAACGTGACATTCAGGCAGTTCGTTTAACTATTATACGTGATGTACGTTTTTTAGGGGGTGGTTAATGAAAGTGTTCCAAAATGCGACATTGATTTTTTGATGACCTAATACAAATAACTAATGTGAAACCAATCAGGCTATAGCAATGTTGTCTTCAGGAATTGAAACTAAACAAATCCCTGTTTAGATACATTTGTTTCAGGGGCAATATGGGATCAAGTTAAAGCATATTAAGATAAAGCATCCTGCTGGAACTAGTGCTGAGTATGGGTGAGGGAAGAGGCAGACAAACAATTATGCAAATGTATGCTAGACAAGTAGTGATTTATACTTGCTGTCTAACCAAAACAGGCCATTATCGTACCCAAAATGCAATTAATCTTCATGTTACTTCACTATCTTTATATAATATAATAAAGTTTAAGCATTTAAAAACATTTTTTCAAAAAGTTTATACACTTAATACATTAAACAGAATCTAGGCTCTCCTAGTTTATGACAAAGTTGGGGATGGCTTTAAGAGCTGTAACAATAATTACACAGTTACTCAAACACTTTGTAACAAATCAAGGGAAAATGGACATCATAAATAATATTCATTTATATTTGGCAAGTAGCCTAACTTAAAATCAAACAACATAAAAATTAGAATAACATCAATTTATTTTGTAAAATAAAACTTTTGATAGTTAAAATTTTATCTTAGAAATTTTGATAACTATTATGGAATGAATAAAAATAAAACTAGAAAGTTTAACTATATAGTAGTGTTTTAACTTCTCCAAACAACATACAGTAGAAAAGATCGCAAGACGTGGAAAATAATGAAAAAAAAAATTGTTCAAAATTGGTGAAACACACATTTATAACAAAAATATTATTATTTGCAATGTTTTGGGCAGAAGCTCTTTATCAGGCAGTTTAAACCATGTTACACAGAAAAAAAAACAGAATCGTTGAAGTGTTAGAATACAGAGAGATTCTAAATCACTTACAAGAAAAATGTTCATTAATTCCATGTGGTGCGAGAGAGTTTAGTTTAAATATAAGTTTATGTTTTTGGCTTTTGTGATCATACCTATTGTGGGGGGCATGTACTAAAACTAGTACACTCATGTCATCAATTCTGTTTTGATCCAGGAAGTTCAAATGTTTGGGGACTGGGTGGTTGAGGGTGCCGTTGCGTAAAGTCAGAGATGTTCACGGAATCTGTCACCTAATCTGCATATAGTTTTCCCAATATAGAATTGTTTACATCTAGTACAGCAAATGCAATAAATAATGCACTCTGATGTACAGGTTAATTGGCCTTTTATGTGAAAGGTAAAGGCAGAATTGGATGGAGTTGATAAATTGGTGATATAACTGCACGTGAGGCAAATAGTTCATCCACGTTTTTCTTTTAAGTGATTACAGCTTCTGTTAATATCTCTTGGCCACCCCTGTTAGCTTGACACCATCCTACATATTTCCCTGATCATTATTATAATTAAATTACTATTTTATCATTTTTTTGAATTTATATTTATTACTTTTCTGTGTCCTTTTAATTTCTGTTTATAGAACTGCTTCAACAATGTTTGTTCCTTCTAAAAATACTTTTGTTAACATGCTCAAAGCAGTTCATACATAATTTAGAATCTCTTTATATTCTAACCCTTCAACAATTCTGTATAAGCCTTTTTTTTATTTGTAACATGGTTTAAACTGTCTGACGAAGGGATTCTGCCCAAAATGTTGCAAATAATAATATAGTTTTTGTTATAGACGTGTGTTTTACCAGTTTTGAACACTTTTTTAACTTCTTCACATTACCTGTAGTAATTTTTCATTTTTACAATGGTATGATACCATCTAACTATGTAAAAGTTAGCTGTGTAAAACTGTAGCCAAATTTTCAGTATTTTTTTACATGAAATAAGAGACTTCCTTGATAATAATATAGTGTTTTGGATTAATCAGTGTTGATCATGCATTCCTAAAGTAACCTAAATAAGTCAAGGTTAAAATAACTTCAATATATTCTGTAAATAATTAGCTCAGTCAGGTTAAAATCAAACAATATATAAGCATTTATTTCTAGTAATGTGATTGACATAAAAATAAAAACAGTTGGTAATTCCAAATTTGTAATTAAAATTGAATAGTTATAATTATTTATAATGATATTTCCTATAAATCATAAATTGAAATTAGAAAAATGAAAGAAGAGGGTCAAATACTGTTCTTTCTCTGAAAGTCACAAAAACCAAATCAAAGGTCTAGAGCCAATTAGACTATTTCCATTTAGGTTAACATGGTTCTACACTAGAAGAACAACCCTTAATACACTGTACAAGTAATACACTACTAAACTTATTTAGCTCACAAGAACTTAGTTCAGTAACCACATAGAAGTCCACTTAGATATAAATATTGGTAATCAAAAAACAGAGTATTTTCCAATTTGAAAGAACATCTTTGATTTTCCAAAATTGTTCTTTGGAAACATTTTTATAGTATTCCTTTTGTAATTCAATAGATATGATAGTAGTAGAATTATACATGGATCATTCTCTACGTTAAAATGCTTTTTTTTGTAAGCTTTTGACCCTCTTATTAGAGCCTTCATTGAGTAAAAACCTAGCCCGATGAATGCTCTGGTAAGAGGGCCAAAAGTTCATAAGTAAAAGTAGTTTAATGTAGAGAACAATGTGGGTATAATTCTACATATTAATTTACCTATTTTATAAGTCTTACAAACAGATATGCTAGTATATCATTTAACATTATATGATTTTACAGATAGAACCAAAACATTCCCAAACAACTTAAAGATATTTTTTGTAATGTGATCAGTTTTTCTCAGTTCTGTATTAATTACATTACATTACTGGTAACCACTAATGGAATAAATGAATTTACTGAACATCACACTTTACTTTCACTCTTACATTTAAACCTATTATTGCAGTGCTTCAACTACTGATAAGCTAATATATAAATTTGTAAAATAATTTTTAAATAAGCATTATTTCATTTATAACTACTCTCAGAATATTTAAAACAAGTATGATGCTATCAACATTAACAGGACACATTTTAATCCTTACTGTTTCTCTATTTGTAAATGAAGCAAAAGTAATACCAGGCATTTTAGAAAACAACAAGGGTCTTAGTGAGAAAAAGTACATACTAAATTTGCTACAGAAAAACTATGATTGCTTACTTTTATATTTCCTTCTACAGAATATTTTATTTGAAGAAGGGTCAAGTGTACCACAATAAATAATACAGTGTGACACTCTTTATTTGTACATGAGAATGCATCAATTGAAAGCAAAAGTCTTTAGAGTAAACCCATTTTTCCATGGTATTTATTACTATTAGACTAATTGTCTGTCAAACACCTGATGAAAAAAATAAAGTTTTCAATCCAATTTTTATTTTTACATTAAACTCAGTTTAACTTAAAAGTTAAAATAGGCTACATATTAATATAAGTAAGAAAAATATTATTACTTTTAAGGAAATTTTATAACAATCATAAACATGCATTAGCAAAAACCTCATATTCATAGGATCAAACTTTAACTTCTAAACTTTTAGTTTTACAAATTACATGATTTTAGAAAATTAGTAATATATATATGTATATACATATAACTAAAAAATCGCCAGATGTCGCTATATCTGCTGTACTTCTGGTATTTTTTATTATTCTGATACAGTACTATGCAACTTCATTTTCCAATACAATTTGTGTACTGGATAATATTATAATATATTTAAATAACGTTATTTATAACGAAAATTTAAATGCATGTAGCATCTGTTTCAGAGATAGATCAGTTTAGCCCAAACTTTAGACTGGCCTAGCTTATGATACACATGACATTGCACCCAAATGCAACAGCACTCTCAGTCCCAGCAGCCATGACCGTGCTTCACACACCTCGAGTCGAATGTTATTTAACCCACTTCCCAATTAGCGTGTTACAATCATCAACACTCTTTGACTTACAGATAATATCCTCACCTTTTAAACCAGATTATTCTGTACTATTCCAGTCACAATAGGCACTAAGTTCAAGAACAGTTACAAATCCTTTACAGCATTTTCAGTTTAACTCCTAACCATAATTAAGCCACCTCATCATCATGGTTACCTCTTCAGTCGCTTGGCGCCATCAAACACCACAGCGCAACGCATACATGTAGTCACGTGACCAAGACTATATTTTTTTTTACTACCGTAGTTTCGTAAAAAAACAAAACATTTCAAATTAAACATGAACATGCATAATATTAAAGACAATTTTTAGAAACTTTTCATATTTTAGACATTTCTTACAGTTATGTAGTATAGTTTTATTAACTTAATTTTGTAATATTTTATTTATAGTTTGCTCATTAATAAATCTGTGTACTCGATTATTCTTATTTCCAATTTTACTTTATAGTATTTCGTTAAACCATCTATAGTTCTTTCAATGTTTTGTCCCCTGGTGGATCAGCGGTACATTTCCTGACTTGCAACGCTAAAGTCCGGGGCTCATTTCTCCACGTTGGACAGATTGCAGATAGCTCATTGTGCAAATTTTAAGAACTTATAAGTGAAAGCAGAGAAGGTCTTTCTCTCAATACCAGAGCCCTAAGTCTGGCTTTGAGCTAATGAAACATCGAAAATATATCAGCTATATATTGTAAATTGAATACAAACAAGGAAATTAAAGGGCCGGGTTTGTCTAAATACTTTGGAGAGTGTCTGGATTATGAATCCGAGGATTCGCGATCTGTTGCCGCAACAACGCGCTTTGTACTGTGGAGTAACGATCAAACATAACTATTCAAAGAGTTGGTGATGACTTTTGTTGAATAGTTGTATTTCTTCTAGTCTATCATTCTATCAGTTGTGTCTGGATAGTTTGGAGAATACCTGGACTATGAAACCGAGAATTCACAACCTGTTGTCGAAATAACGCGCTTCGTTCTTTGGAGCCGTGAGTATAATATAAGAGTATCAATCAAACTCCATTATTCGATCAAATATAAGTGTCCCAAGAGTTGGTGATGACTTTTGTTAACTAGCTGCTCTATCAGTTCAAAATTAGTGATGCAGAGATAACACTTGTGTAACTTTGAGCGAAATTCTGGAATAAACAAATAAATCTTTTTTTTTTCAAACTTCACTACTTGAAGGTGAACAAGACAAGAACATTAAATTTAACAGCAAAACTATAAAAAAGTACTTCCGAATACGTTAACCTATCATCGATCTTAGCGGGCTGTTGAAAACAGACCTAACTGGAAATTGCAGTAATCAGCTGATTATGATATGAGGCGTGTTTTACAATAAAAGCAACTGTTTAATGTTTCAGATAATAATATCGGAAGGTGAACAGAAACAAATACTAAATATAATCGCAAAGTTACATTGTTTCAAACTATTTTCGGTTGTGAAAGAGTAGAAAGGGTGTGTTTAATAAAAGTTAAAAAATTACACCAAATTTTAAGTTTAACCGAGTCTCGAAAGTGACCTTGTATATCATTTTACTGTGCTTAAATAAATACCACAAAGCAAATCATCACACATTGCTTCCTCCAAGATGTATGCATTTAACTTCATTGTAACTTTATACAATGATCAATATTACCTTCTACTCTCCCTTTATTTAAAACATCAAACTTCATTGAGGCTACTCCGTAATTATAACTTTTAAATCATCCAATGATATTCCGAGTCATTCGAGGGAAATCATGAGTTACTACATCTAGTACAAGCATTCAAAAATAGATGCCGTGTTCGTAAAAAGAAAGGAAATACATACATGATCTAATTTCTTTGTGTTAAAATTATAGTGTGATGCAGATAAAAAAAAGTTTGGTATTAAAATATATAAGCAAATAAGCTGAATGTAATTATTTATCTATGCTATTCGGATGTAAACAATACTGCACCCACCATACTGCTGAAAATTTTTAAATGAAAAATACTAATTACTTACATATTATAAATTGACTAAATGTCTTTAAATAGACAATCCGGCCAAATTTTAATACTATCGTTTTAATTTTGGGATCTATATATTCTAAAAATACAATGTTAGTATTTATTCTTAAAAGATGCTATTCGCAGGTTTAATATTCTTCTAATATTTCGTCACCAGGAGGTGATGAGCTTTCTAATATTGGGAACTTTACAGCGCAAAAAAAGAACGAAAAAATTATGACGAAAGTTGTGTTTTCGTTACATTTACTGATTTAATTAGGCCTCAGCCTTAAGTAAGAAAAAAAATGTCAGATGAAAAACAGGTATTTAAATTTCATCGTGCAATGGAAAAAGAATATAATTTAAAGCCAGTATTCAATATCGGACAGAGCGCAGTTGTAATTTGACGTTGAACTGATAATGTTACTTTGTTTACGATACTGTTAATAACTTAAATTCAAGTTAAAGTTAATATAGTTACTGTTAGTTTTAACTTAGTAACATTACGAATAGTTATAATAGTATAGTATAATTTAGATTTTTTTGTACATATATCACTGTGACTTGTAAGTTGTAGTTGTAAGCTATGATCTAAACCTAATTGAAAATAAAATAATGCATATCATAATTTGGTTAAGTCAGTCAGTGGTTGTTACTAATTAGCCTAAATAATATAATTGATAAATAATTAATTATTAATAGTACCTTCTTATCATAGCAAACTACCTACTTAGAACTTACAGTAATGTAGACTTGCATAACCCCAAAGGTTATGTAAAACATTGTTATTTTGCTCAAATTCTGGTGAACAAAGTTGTGTTACTGTTAGCCAACTTTGTCTTTGGTGATATTAAAATAAATTGTAAGTTGATTCTACTGGTTTTCTGGAGCTTTTTTTAAAAAAAAATTTTTTTTCTATTATTTACATTATGTTGATTGACATTTACCACGTACTTTACTTTTTAGGCTTTTAACATAGTTCTGTGGAAGTTTTTTATGAATAGAAAAGCTGTATTTCAACTAGGTCAGTTTTTCTTAATTGCATAGTAAGCTTCAGGTTTTTGGTATTTCTAAAGCTTTAGGAGTAGCAGAGCAGTTAAAGGTGTGAAATTTGTAGTTTGCAGTAAATGTAAAGAACAAATTATGTTTGAAAGTTGTGGGTTGATTTATAATTCTGAAGACGTTCCAAGTAAATCTGCGGGGTTGTAGAACGTGGTTTTTGGAGAAAATTGGAATTTTGCTGGGAGGTAAGTCACTGAAGTTGACGGTGTGAAAAGCAGGTTATGAAAAAAGACAGAATTAGAAAAGTTGGTTTTAGGGTCTTGTGACCATGTGAATTAAAAATCAGTGATACTTGGATGTCACAAACAAAAATCCTGTGTGCAAGGCTTTTGAAAGTCATTGAAAGTTCTAGGCTTTTGATAGCAATGGTTGTGGTCACCATCAACAGTTGTTAAATGTGTTTTGCAACTCATTTTTTCTAATTTATTGTCAAGCTAGTGATTCACTTGAAACTCTAAATGCAGTTTTATAACTCCACAAATCCCAGTTACCTTCTACAAAAATACTGCAGTTATCATCAGTCTTTCTGAAGCATAGATCAGATTACACTTACAGCTTGAGAATGTGTACTTGGACTGGTAAATAATATGAACACCCCAAAACTATTAGTTGACCAGTAATTTTCCTTCCTATCTTTACCAAGCATGATTAGTTGGTTAAAATTTCATTACTTCTTTGCTCGGTGTTGTTTAGTTGTTATTATTTTTGGAAATTGGTTGAAATATTAAGATCAGTGGGTTTGCTGGTCAGGCTCTCAGTCAGTATTGAATGCCATTGGGTGGACTTCTCCTTTAAACCTCTGAGACATGGAACTTCTGGTTTTCAATGCTCTCATGTCTTCTCTTCCTGTGCATCAGGTTCTATTTCTTCTCTCTATAGTGTGCCCATTTGTGTCCACTTCAATGGACTCTGGCAGATCAGGAATTATATTCAGGGATCCACTGACTTCTCTCCTTCCATCTCTTCACTTCATGCTTGTGCACACTGAGATTTTGGCAGTTCGGTGTGCCTACCACCATCTGTTGGAAAGTCTTATTCTGATGCATTCGTACAACTATGCTGTCATATTTTATATCAGTTAACAGGGTAGTATCCATTTCAGGGCCTCTGCTTTCTGGTTCTCTTGCTTTTCTTATGGGCTCACAACCACAACATCTTAGTTTTTGGCCTTCAGGAGCTTTGAACTTAGTAGCAGATTATGTGTCTCACCAGATCAGATCCTTCCAAGAAAGTGGTTTTTATATCATCTGTATTCCAATGGTTTTGTTTACATTTTGGGAGTCCTTTTATCAGTACCTTTACTATTCTCCTTAGCACCAAGTTTCCACCCTTTTGATCATCAGTTCCAGTCTCTGCTGCCCTAGCAATTGATACTTTGAATTAGGATTGGTAAAATCTTTTTCTGTATGCCAATCCTCCTCCTTGACTACTTTCCAGGGTGTTGTCTCTGATTTGCAGCACTCGTTCTTGGCAATCCAGGAGCCTCTACCTCTTTTCTCTTGGAAGTCTCTCATGTCAGCCTTAGATATATGTCTTCATGTTCTTTAACCTTTACATTTGTCCTATATACAATTCCGCCCTTCCACTGATGCTGCTCCATGAGAAGATTATTCCCTCTAGAAGTAGCCAGGTGATGCCATTTGATGGCTGATGATGCCTTAGCAGGTACCTTTCTTACCTCTGCATATATGCCTTTGTGTGTCATTAAAAATATCTGAAGTAGGATGATCATTCTGACCAGATACCTCATTGTTCTAAAGAGGATGAGGAACATCTATGTTTTTATTATTGTTTCTATTTTACTTTTTAATATTCCCGTTGTACTATCCTCATGTTTTTGAGCTCTATCCTTGAAACTGTCTGTGGTTCTTCCTGATCTCCTATTGACTTGGGAAGTTTCAGGACTCACTAGCCTTTTTATATATGGATGAAGAAAGGCTAAAGCCCTAGGAATATGTATATATACTTATAATTCTTGACTACAATGCTCCCCCAAGAACCTTCCACTACTAGAGCAGGATCTATTTTCTCTCTTATGTTTATGCTTCCAGCCTGTTTTGTATGAATTAAATGTAAAATAGAAACCCTGCTTGAAAAAAAGTTATTCTTTTTGAGTTTTCTTAGGTTCAATTTTTGTATATTAGGCTGGTTGCTTTAGTCATTTTCACCTGAATTCAGTTCTTTAATATTTATCAGTGCATCTTTAATATGGTTTAAGTTTTTACTTTCTTACCTTGTAAGTTGTATGATCATAACTCTCCATGTTCCACCTCTTTTCAACGTGAGTAAAAGTTTTCATATTTAAGAGGTAAGTCTACTAGATTTGGATTTTACATTTTTAGTGTTAAAATGTATTTCAAACAAGTATTTGACTCTGAAATACATTCCCACTTAACTTCCCACAACTGGTTGAAATGTGGTTTTCTCCCATGCTTCCAGCTTAGAAATCTGAATTATAGTGGGAAAGCAAAGCTTAAGTAAGAGCTCCTGACACATGTGGAATATGGAAGAATGGGAAAGTTGACATGTACTCTGAACTGCATTAAAGACATTTACTGATTTAGTATAATTTTGAGTCACATGTTGACAAAATGAGAGTAATTATCAAGGAAAGACTTCCAGTATTTTAGAGGTAAGCACCTGTTTGAAGTACATTTTAATCCTAAAAATGTAAAAGAGGTTTTGTAGCAGTTGATAATTTTTCTCAAGATTATATTAGTTTGAAAGATGTTTAATCTTATTTAGGTTTTTCAATGAAGTGATGGGTTATCAGGAATAAGACACCTTATTGCATCTTTTAAATTAAGACAAATTATAGATACAGTGGGCAGAATAGTTCTGAGTAGCTAACTTAAATGGTTTTGATATATTAAAACAATTTTTGACAAGCAGGTACTAAAGCTTATTTTCTAAATAGAAAAGGGCTATTCATAGTTATTTTTGTTTTCTTCAGGGAGTGAAACCTGAGAATGAACAAATTCAACTGAAAGTTGTTGGACAAGATGGAAGTATTGTGCAATTTAAAATAAAGAAACACACACCCTTTAGAAAACTAATGACAACATATTGTGACAGAGCAGTAAGTAATGTTTCATTTTTTAGGAAGTTTTTTTCTGTTAATGAAAAAATATATGTAGTAACTGCGGTTGACTTAAAATGAGAAAACAAACATAACATATTCTGTATTTGTATTTATTTACCCAAACCATTTTTGCATTACCCTTCTAATTTTGAAAATGCTTGAGTATTTTTACAGGAGCAAAGTAATATAAAAGTATTATTTATGGACTACATCTGTTGAATATCATTGAATGGTATCCTTTAAACATTGGAAAAAGAATATTAAAGTGCCTATAAATGGGTTTACACCACATTAAAACATTATGCATACTTTCAGTTTATGTTTCCAGAACTGTCGTCAAGCTATCCTGATGAGTTAGCATGATGACTCCCTTAGGTACTAGATCATAAGCTTGCAAATAAAAGAAAACTTAACATGGTGTAAACTCATTTATAGATGTTCAATCTGTTTAATGTATTTCTTTTATCACAACATTTTGCTTAGTATATTAGATGTAGGCCTAGACACAGACCTGTTAGTTCTTCCTGTCTTTCAGCCCTGTAAAATTTAATTCTTTGTTCTGTCTAGGTAAGGAAAAACAAAAGTGAAGATTGTCATAAAATTATAGGTAAAACTATTACAGTTGAGTTACACATTAATTTTTGTGATTAATAATAACTAGATGGAAAACTTCAGTAAGCAGATTTTTCTTGTATTTTTTAAATAAACTGTAACAGGTGATTGAAAGTATGCATTTGTTTTTTTCTTTGTTAATTTTTAAGCTCTATTGTTCCATGTTTGTTAAAGTTTACATTATATGATAATGATTGTCTCATTTTAGTTAGTTTAGAGATAAGCATTGAATAATTTTGCATTTTATGTTAATCATTGATAAAAATCACAAAAATATGTAATATTAAGTCAGAGACTTGTAAACATGTAATAAAACTGTTATTCAGTAAATATTTTATAACCAGCTTTGAGTGGCCTGCAGTAGCTACCTTTCATTTTGTGAAGTTATACATACAGAACTATTATAGAGTTGTCAAGTTTTTATTTAGTATCACTATCATACAGAAAACTAAATTTTAGGAATGTGACAATACTGGCATTCAGATGAAAGTCTCAAACATCATTTTGCAATACCAATTACACAGTCAGCCATTCTTAAAATAGGTCACAGAGTTTATTTTTTGGCATAAGTAACTAAATTTCAAGCAACATTCAATTAACTAGATATTACTGCAAAAGTACTGTATATCACACTTTGTCATAATATAGCACATCTTCATGTAAATTTAAATTTGTATTGAGAATTTTTTGGTATTCTTCTAACATTAGAGTAGTACAAATTCGATGACGAGGAACCCACTTTGAGACTAATAATGGCTGCAGACGGCTTTGAAGGGGAAAGAAGAAAAAATTTTATTTAAAATTTAAATAACAACAAAAGTACA